AAACAAAAATTTTAAAAATCACTTTCTTATTTTTATTATTTATTTAGAATTTATTTGTACTTTTTAAAAAATTTTGGGAGTATAGTTGTAATTTGTTTTTTATTTTCTTGTTTTATTTAAATATAAGGGTATATTCATCATTTTACAGCTTTTAATTGAAAAAATGAATGAAAATTATACATTTTGCAATGTAACGTTAAAATAAGGGTGAAAATGACAAAAATGAAATGTAAGAATATTTTGCACAATAATATTAAAAGATATGAATGTTTTGTACTAATTGTCCAATTTATTTGGACTCATTTTCATTTTTTTCATAGTTTGAGAGTATTATTGCAATTTGTTCTTTAAATTCTCCTTTCTTTTATTTTTTTGCTTTAATTCAATATGAGTGTATATTTGTCATTTTACATTTTTTGTAATTTAGAATTGGATGAAAATGAGCTTTTCCGCAATGAAATGTGAAAATAAGGGTGAAATGACAAAAAAATAAATGAAAGGTAAAGACATTTTGCACAATAACACTAAAAAGTAAGGACATATTTTGCTACTTACCCTTAATTAAATCATACATAAGTATCCATCGTTCATCACAAATTGTGAATAAAACCCCTCAAATTGGATGAATGTTGAATAACTGCCGCTTAGCCATATTCATCAATCACATATTATAATTGAGTAGACAATTAAATCTAGATTTTAATTCAAATTCATACTTTTTTTTTCATTTTACTAATAATTTTCTCGAAATTCGAAAATTTTCAAATTAGTTTATCCAAAATTTCTAATTTTTTGATAATTATTTGCTATATTTTATTTGTAATTGTATTATTTTACTCTAATTTGTGTCAAGCTCCCTTAAATTTTTAGCTGACAGTTTTCTGGTCGTGTTACTCATTTAATTACTTATATTTTAATTTAGTATATAGATTTTACTATTAATTGCTAGAATGACTTGATGAATTATCTAAATGTCGGTTTGAGAATTTCAACAATGAACGTTTTGACATTTTACATTTAGCGAAATTTGAATACAAACAAGAAAAATTGTCTGCCCAAATTGCTAAAAATGTATTATTTAATCAAATATCCAAAATTGTTTGAGTTGCACTCCTTATTAATAGTCGAATTGATGATTCTTTTATGAGTTTGTTGAATGTAAAAATGAATGATGTTGTGTTTATAACTCATATAATGTAACACAGATTTATTAGATCAAATAAGTCGATATCGGAATGGAGTGGAGCGACTACATTCGCCTTGCAGGTTTTTAATTCACTCTTTATTTGCTAATGACACTTAATGGGTTGGGGTGCGAGGCGACGTCTTTGCGGTACGATACCTGGGTATTTTCTTGTACGGGGGCTTAAAGTCTTATATACGCTGGAACCGAGGTTAGTATAAATATTAATAATGTAACCCTATTATTCACACTGAATAAAATTATTTCTGTTTCACTCTTCGTAGACGTGGGCACATCACCAAACCATGTAAATACTTATGTTGATTTCTCTATTTTATCTCTTTATTATTGAGTATAAAAATCCAACAATTGAAGAAGTAATTTGCCTTCGAAAATGGTTGCATAGTAATTAGAAACTTATAGTGATTCGTTAATATTTGGATGAGCATTTAATGATTCACAAAAGGTTATAGAATTTATTATCGATCTTTCATTCATTTTTTTATTTATTTTATATAATTTAATTATAATCAATGAATTTATGTACTATATCAATCCGCATCATCAATATGTAAGTCAATGTAGACGCAGTGATGTACAAATTGCATTAGCTATTACACAAAAAAATTAGTCATAAATACTAAGAACTTGTATTCCTAAATTTAAAGAAGGTGCAAAATTTCAAGGGGAATGCTATTTGTAAATTATTATTTACAGACAAATGTACGGACCTGGAAAAGAGAAAAAGTAGAGAATGAGAAATCAAAAAAAGTCCGTTAATACAAGTTACTTATAAAAAAAAAGTCCGTTAATGCAATTATTTAAATTTTAAAATTTTCAATAAAAGTGCTAAAACATAAAAGACGGCCCCTAATTATTTTTTTCTATTGTTGGACCAAATTTTTTCTTTCTTTATTCAAAGCGCGTACAATTAAAATCGTGTGGGGGCCGCGCCCACTTCTTCCGGCGGATTTGGGGCAGGAATTGGTCTCGGGCCCACAAATCACCGACCATTGAAAACTTCTCTAGAAGAAACGTATAATATGGCTCGTGGTAGTATCAAATCCTGACACGTGCAAACTAAAGTGGTCGGAGAATTAAATTCAAACGAGTGTTCCAACTAATTATAACTGCCATATCCAGATGGACCAATGAGAAGCTCCCATGTTGCGTAGGATAGAGGACGTACACTTGCGGTGATCTGCCTGAGAGGAGTAGGGTAGATTTCAGACCACAAAATCTGTCTGAATTTTCTATTTATTTGGATAAAGTGGTTGTTATGACTTGACGGTTTGATTCGTTTGAATATTTTTTAACCTCTTTCTACGAAACGTATCACATGTTCATGTCCGGGTTTAACATTTTTTGTCGGCAAAATTTAAAGTTGATTCTTAAAGTTGATTTTGTAAATTTCTTAACAATTTTTATCTAATTACTTGGTTAGTAAGTTTAGTCTATATAATTTTCCTCAAAACTCTTTTTTTTTTTTCCTTTAACTCATTTTCAATCATACATTGTCTTATAAAATAATTTTTTGAATAATACTATATAGTAAGGGGTATTTGTTACAAAATCATAGAATAAATACTATAAATCTGCAACCTGAGGCCTATGTAAACACTGTTTTCATAAAACAAATTCATCCTCTCACCCGTAGGTGCTTGAGATCTAGGTTGAGCGTCTGTTTCCTAAAATACAACGAAAAACAGTAGAGTCTGAGCATTGCAAATACTAATCCGATAAGTTGATTTAGTATTTGAGCAGTATCACTATGACCTTGATAGAAACTAAATTTTTATGCAGACAGAAGACAATTTTATGTAGCAAAGAGAGATTTTCATGTGTCTGTAAAGGAAGAAGATGACTGAATAAATAGGCTGTGAAGAAGAATTAACATGCCAGGGGTTATGTCATTAACTATCATTAGCCCGAATGTTAATCTATTCATTAACACAAATATAATCATATGAGTTTCAAGAGTTAAAAGAATTTGGAAGGTTTTTACTTGGAAAAATAATAAAATAAGGGCAAAACGAAGACCCTCGCAAGGGCCAATTTTTGGTCAATTTGGTTCGACATTCGTATACACAAATCGCACCTGCATACAAGTTCAAAATTCAAAATCTATTTCGATTCATGATTTGCAACCCTTTGTGACCGTACGTGAAAAAAGCCTCTATGCTACACATAATTACACATTTTCAAAGTTTAATCATAATTAAAGTAGTCATTGTTTTTATCTATTTTCGCGTGTAGAATAACTCTAAAATAGTTTCTCTTCCAATACAAAACCTCTTCCAATGCATCACTTTGAGCTCTAATTTCTTATTCACCCGAGCATCATTTTTGGCAAATAAATATATGATTTCGACATTTTCATGGAAGAGCACAAATCAATCTTGATCTTCCAAAATAAACAAATGGATCCCACTCAAAATTTATGCCAAAGTCAGCTCTTCAATCCATTTTTCCAACGGTATTAACCATCAATTCAGATGTTATCATATATGTCATATTAAATGGGTCATTATATATAACATTTAATTGAACTTGTAATTTAATGTCACTAATGATACCAAGTAGATTGTGTTAAACATCAATGGTACTAAATAACATTAATTTTGTCGTATTTTTTAAATACACGTTGTTTAAAAATCAATATTCAAAAACCTATTTTTTTTAAAAATAGAGCTCAAACATGACCTTAATGTAAAACCTTTTGTATATGCCATATTGCCATTAAATCCACTGAGTACGTACCAATGGAACTCCAATCCATTGCTATGCTTGTTCAAAATTTAATTTATATCCCAAATAGACCAAAATGTGATGGATAAATGGGCTTCAAAATTTTGTCATTCCGTTAGTAGCATCGTTAATCTTTGCGTAGCAATTGAATTGACATCCAGTTTCATTGTTAGCACTGTTAACTTTTGATGGGTAATAGTCATAAAGTCCTAAGAGACGCTACATAAACAGGGCCACATGACTCTATTTTTCGAGGGGACTTGTTGAGACATGTGTCCCCTTGGAAAAATAGGGCCTAGGCGGCCTTGTTTGAAAAGAATTATTCTAAAGTACTCTAATTACACACAAGATTTCACATGTATTTTAACTAACAAAGTGACCAAATTGAAATTGAGAGAAAAATTTAGGGACTGGTTAGGGACAATAAACTATAAAGACTAATTTGAAACCTTGCTGTAAGTCTAAAGACCAAACGCGTAGCACTATTTTTGGATGTAAAGCTCATGAATTGTGCTTGTTTATCCTAAACTCATGTGTTCTTGTTTCACAAGTTTTTAATCGTGATGACTTGTTAAGAATGCATTTAGTGCCTCGTACTAAAGGATATTGTATCAAATGGATAATATTAAAGTATATAAAAAATATTTTATTATTATAATTTTTTTATTTTTTGGTGCTGCACCGTATTAGAAGAACGTATTGTACTATATTTGGGATGTGGCGGAGTTGGCCATATTACCATTTGGTCCAAAAATAACTCCCCTACGGAAAGTAAGGAAGAAAATAAAATGGAAACGGAACTTAAAACAGAGTTGTGTACAGCAAGACACAAAGCCCCCTCGCATGAGAGGGCCCGTACTGATTGTGGAGCCTCCTCATGTGAGGAGGTTGTAAGGTTTTACAGCCTTAAAGGCTGTACAACCATCATTTTCCTTTAAAACATGACACTGTGCCCCTCACCCTTATTTGGTTCAATTAGAAATTTTGACTAAAATTTAAATTAAAATCAACAATTAATTTTTATCACAGATTTTATATGATTCACAGCTTTTCTTTTAGTAAAATCTACTAAAAATTCAATTTTATCTACATCAAATAGGGGTTAATTGTCAAAACATTATTTAAGACAAAATACATAAAAGTAGAACTTTGTACTATGGCTTTGTTGATCTTAAGCCTACAGTTTGAGACTATGTACAAGTAATATTCAACAAGTAACATTAATTTCTGCTAATAAAACTGCAATGCTTTCAATCTGTTTGCATATATGCCGCTTTGGGTTGTTTTCTTCCATTTACTGGTCGCTGGTCTCCTTTAACACCAATGGGATCATTATTTTCATCATCTGCTCCAAATTCTTGCAGAACTTCCAATCTTAAATGCCTGAGTTGGAATTTATTCCTTGTTTGTTGGTCGTGCTGCAATATCGATTATACAAGTTACCAGAAAGAAATTGTTGCAAATCTGAAAACAATAGTGATCATTGAACTTCGAATGGAAATTTCACGTTGATTACTATATTCCGTTATTAAAATTAGTTTGACTGATCGAAAAGTTGACGTGACAGTCTAGTTAGTAGTCACCTGTTCCACAGACACGAACAAATTAAGCAAATTGTTAAAAGATTAAGCTAAGAATTACCATTTCGCTTCTGGTTTTCGACTTTTCGCTTTATCTGTTTGTTGAAAGACTTTGCAGCCACGAAGACATTTGCAGGTCTTTCCCAGCCTTGTCCGAATACGCCATAGCCTTCCTTAGGTTGAGGTTGAATAAGGTATTCCAGCACTTCAAGCTCTTCTGTCTCCACCCAATAGATGCAATTTACAGGACATGAATCAACTGATATCTGTAAATGCACAGATCAAGTTAAAGAATGAAAGACATCTGTTCAAGTAAATGTCCCGATCGAGCAACTTTGACAAAACAGTCAGCATACCTCGATTTGTGTGTCATCATCACCATACTGAACTTTGACACGTGCAGTTCCGACTGCTTCGTCCATGGTGAACGTGTTGCCAGCATGGTGTACACATTCTCTACAACCTACAAGTTCAAATGGAGTTCCAAGTATCTATTACCAAACTAGAGTTTCATGTAAGTGTTGAATTACTTCGTCTATAACTTTTTTAAGTTATTAGATTGTGTGAAGCCCAGTGAAACTATTAACTTTAGAGTAATGCTTGGGATACATAATTTTGGATCCATAAAGGTGCTCATGGACCCACCTCATGTGAGTGTATGGACACCCTTATGAACCCAAAATTATGTATCAATAGATTTATTCTTAACTTTAACCCCTCATCCACCAATTGACGTAATATTATTTATTCCATACATACCATGCCATCATAACATTGACATGAAATATATAAGAGGAATGAAACCTTGTAATCATATATCAAAATTTAGTGGTTCACGTTGATTGTAAATCACTATAGAGGTGTGTGCATGATTTGCGTGATTTTGATTTGAATAATCCTATTTAGTACTATTAGTGCTAAAACACTAATCTAATTGGCATATACGACTAATCCAATTAATAAGTCTAACTAAATTGATGTTCTAACACCACATGGCCTCAAATTTGATATACGTTTTGAATTCTAATCATACTGAGACGTGAATTACTATAAAGATTGTTGGCTAATTTTCTTATTATATTGCTCTGAATAGTGGAGGACTAAGGCTTAGTTCATAATATAAACTTCTAGATGAGGAGCTTCACATCATATCAAATTGAGTAGATATTCTAAGTTCGAGTCTCACAATATTTCATTTTTGGAAATTGAGCACAAATAAATGAAATTTGGCCAGTTAAGAATTAGCCGCGGTTTGAACCTCGTTTTTTGAAAAAAATTATATTTTTAAACAGTATTTTGACATAATATCAACCATACATTCTTCAATAAAATAATATTACATATAAATTTAAAATTTTTCTTACTTTTTAACCATAGATTTCTCATCAAATACTCTATTCAAAAATTCATTCTTACGAAAAGAAAAGAATGGGGCTCCAAAAAGGGCTAAATTTAACTCAGTTACCTATACAAGCATTCTCGTCGACGAATATAGCTTCGGGTCTCAAGGGGCCTTTCCACGAGCTCGTTGCACCCAACCTCATTAGGCCAATCGAAGAATCATACTCTCGTCTGAGATCCTCCTTCATTAAAACCTCGTAAGCTTTATTCAACTTAATAGTATTCTCATGACCCTGAAACAAATGGTAATCTCAAAGGCTAAAGCTGTGGATAATATTGTTAGGACAAACATAAACCAAACATTGGAAGAAGTAAAAGACACAGACCTTTTCCCCGGCAATGTCTGGATGATGTTTTTTCTGCTGTTTCCTGTACGCATCTTTTATTTCTTGAGAGCTTGAATCAGAAGAAACTCCCAACAGTTCATAATAATTCTTCTTTCTTTCACAACATCTTACAGTAATAGATCTCGGCCTCCTGCTCGAGTCGATATAAATATTAAAAAAAAAAAAATCCCAACAATTTTCGAGTTCAAGGAGCATGAGACCATGTCAAGAACTACGATATGTATCGGCAATTACCTGAATATGGGCTTGTTAGAACCGGGTAGTAGATGAATTTCAGCAGATTTTGGACTTGAGAGTTGAGAAATGGAGAAAGATGCCATTCCAGTAACTCAATTTTAGCTTTGATATTTTCAAGAGATCAGCAAGATATTTTTTGTGGCTTTTTGCCTTTTCTTATTGTTGGAGAAAAAACGTGTCCGCCCTTCTAATAGACGGTTTTATGCAAGTGCGATTTTAGAAGAAAAGCAAAATTGTACCCTCTGTCCTCCATCTGTAGTCTAAACAGCAAATTCATTCGGAATCTTTAAAAAAGAGCATTTTGTCGTAATGCATGATATACGTACAATTTGTTGCAAATTAGTCGATTTTGTTGAAATGACAATTACATTTATCTTCGAATAAAATATAAATAAATTTAAAGCAAAACAAAAATGCAAATCCATGGTATAGAAATGGAGGGAACATTGAGGTTTGGTTGGTGAATCCGGGGCTGAAGGGGGTGGGAGGTGAAACGAGGAAAGACTTCAGTAAATTAATTTAAGTCACAAAATATGACTTAAGGGGCATCGAACGATGTCATCTAAGAATGAAAATGAGGCTTGAGTAGTCTTTCCATTCCCTATCTTGTAAAAAATATTTTTCTTTTAGTTAAGTTCAAAATAAGATCATGATATTTTGTCATCCCTATTTCTGTCATATCAGATTTCTTATATTAAGAGAGTGAAAGCCCCTATTTAATAGACATTAAATCTAAATTTCAATTTAAGTAAAAGTCAACAAAAATTTTTATCATATATTTCATATAACCACAACTTTGGGCAACGTATAAAGATTGAGTACATCTCTGTCACCTTTTAAAATTTTAAAATATTTGTTATAATATCATTTTTCAACACAAATTCACATAATAAAATATTCTATATAATTTACTTTTTAACCACACATTTTCAAGAAAATATTGTTCAAAACTCTTTAATTTCGCAAATAATAGATGACAAATAGGGGCTAAAATGATTCTTCTAAACATTGGTGATTAACTTGCAACACAGGCTATAATTTGGGGACCGATCTGCAACTTTTCCACTACAAATCTGACGTTTATGATTGGGGAAAATGCGAATCAAAGTGGTCGAACGCCACAGCCTTTCGCCGCCGGAGATGGGTTGAGAAATTGTAGGAAACCAAATACAACAATGTTCCCAGCACGATTTCTGCAGCCAATTAGAGTTTCTCTTGCCGCCTCAATCGCATTTCCTCATTCGCGCCTCTCGTTCTATTCGACTGTCCCTCGTAAGTCGTTGAGTTACAAACATGTATGAATATGTATATATAAGCACAACCCAAACAAATATTGATAGTCGATGCAAATTTTGTTGCAGATTACGGGAAATTTGAATACTTGAACACATGGATGAAATTGAAAGGCCTCAGACCTCAAGTGCATTACTACTCACACAATTCTAATTGGAATTTGTGTAGTTTTCGAACGTATTGTCAATACTATCGTAGTTTCCCAAACAAAGGTCAGTTGATATTCATAATTTTTTCAGGGAAAAAAAAAAAAAAAAACCAGCACATATTAGACGATTTTGAGTAGTTTTTCATTGGCGATATTTTATTTATTTTTTATGTTCTGCTTTATGATTGTTTAATTTCCAGAATATTGGGTAAGTTTTATTAAAATTAGGAGAGTACTCCAAGCCCTCAATGTTGGATATTTATTTTATCGATGTTTGATGTGGGTTTTGTCCCTTAACAATTACCCTCGAATAATTGTTGCAGGTTTTCAGCCTGTTTCTTGCCTAATTTTACATTGAATGCATATGGAGCCTGTTTGCTAAGCTTGGAAAGATATAAAATTTTCTTTTTGATAACTATTTTTTTATTTTCAAACATGTTTGGATGTGTGACATTTAAGGAAAAAGGTTACCTGATAGTAAATCAACTTAATTTCAAATTTAACTAAAAAAAGTTATTTTGTAGCCTATATTTGGCTAGTGTTTATAAATTGTTTAAACACTCAGCGCCACTTTTTATCCACTCATTTCGGATTACTAGTTATTTATAATTTGAACCGTTTATAAACACTTCAGATTTTATTAAATTTTATTTCTTTACTTGTAAGCAAACGTTTTAAGCTTAGCGATAGGAGCTCATAGTCGACAAGTGAAAATTTATCCCCTTTTTTTTTTTTTTTTTTTTTTTGCACTATTGTAGGATACACATATAATATAGCTAATGTGGTTGCCCTATGTGCTGCATTTGGATCAATTAGCCTTTGGCCGCGTGCTGCATATTCTCTGGATGGTAAGACTCTTGTATTTTTAGTTGTTATTCAGCCATCCACCCAGATATTTAGAAATGATTATCATTCCTTATATGTTTTCTATAATTTATGAATTTTGTTGTTGGCCTGTAGATTTTCTTATGTTGGAGGATAATCATCAATCAGGATTGTTGGGTGGCTCATACTCCAAAGAAAATGTTCGATCAGTCCTGAATATCATACGTAAATTGCTAGTGCCTGTATTCCTCTTCTTAACCGTGTGGCTGAATTGGGGTCAACCTATTAACATTGCGATCAAAGTTATACTCATTATTCTTAGCACAAAACCTGTTCCTTCCTCAGTTCATATCTTCGTTGAACAGGTTTGCCCTTTCCGAATTAATTGCTTGTCTGGAGTTCTTCATATTAGTATGGCTCACAACTAATTATTGAAAATTGGCATCTAGCTTATACGAATTAACATCAAAACTTTCACGTTCAGTCGGTAGATGTGGCTGAGTTTACCCGAAAAGAATTTGGATGAATGTCTGATGTGTGTGCACTTAGGTTTCCTGCTTCGACTGCAATAGTTATCAGCACCGATACAGCTTTATGAATCATCCTCGATGTGGGCATATTTGAGATTTGTGTGATCAAATAAATATTTAACCATGTGTTTAACTGCTAGCCGATCTAGCAAAAAGAGTAGATGGCTGGCCACATTTTTTCCTATTAAGTTTGATATCAACTGCAGCCTTCACATAGGTGACAAATTCACATAATTGCATGTTTGAATTCTACATGGCAAACATGCATCCAATGTTTCAGAACAAACAACAAAAAGAAAAAGGAGAAGTAAAAAAGAGAATTTCTACTACCTTGCTTATTATTTCACATTTTGCCAAAAGATTTAATGTGGAAGTGAATTTGGTTATAAGACATTTATATTGGTTTGAACATGTATTTGTACAACGGAGGTTTCACAAACTGTGTTTCTTGATTAAGCCATGAACTTCATTTGAGTCGAATCTTCAATTAATGAATCCATTTGATCTCAAAACATAATTTTATTTTATTCCCCCCCTATCCAATGTCCTTTTAATATAGAAAGTCTATCCAGAATAGTAAACATCCTAGCTTAAGGCCTAGTAATTATTTCAACATCTGCTTTACGCATGAAATAACCGTATATTTGGGATTTTAATCTAGCTCATTAAGAGTGTGATCTCCTATACGATTGCCTCCTCTTTCAAGTATAGAATAATCTGTTGGAACAAATGAGGATTGTTGCATTTGCAGTGAACTCCATTTTTAAGACATTTCAGAAATTTATCCCTTAATTGTCATGGTACTCCTTTGGCATGCTGATGTTCTGCACAGGTTATCTTGTTGGAGGCTTCATATTTAAACTAGGACTGGTTGCAAAAGAGACTCGAGAAAGTGGAGGATGTGATGAATGATAAAAATAAATTTTTTTATCGAGGCCTTATGATAAATTCTCCGAATGTAGCTATTTATAAAATTTCATTCGGAAAAAAAAGAAAAAGAAAAAAAAAAGAAGAGTTATATTTAACATGCATCATAATCATTTTGTTTTTGTGATTTGTGCTCTTTATTTTGCAGCCATTACACGTGAAGATGGTAGAAGTAGAAGATTACACTGTCCTCTGTGTTGCTAGAGTTGAAATTAAAGATGAGAGGTTCGTACTAATTGGGGTTCTTGGTACTTGGTGGATTATGCCTTTGTCGTCAACGAATGAAATTTTTCTGTTTGATACTCGGTCGTGGAAAGAATTATTTTCTGTAGTTAAGAACAGATTTAGATTAGCTGCTGATCTAAGTTATCACTGAGACATTTTTGAATAGGAAAATGTTATTTGTACCCGGCGTGGGGCTCTGACCCCTCATGTGAGTAGCAGGTAACCTGGAGTGTCAAACTCCCGGTACCTGTAGCAAGACTTTTTTGAATATCGATAATCTTGTCATTTCTGCTCTTAGATAGTAATTTAGCCCTTGTTTGAGCCACATTCTTGTCAAGAAATGCATTTTTAAATAGTGTATTGATGAGAAATGTGTGATTAAAAAATAAAGAAAAGTTTTGAATGTGTGTAATATTATTTTATTGAAGAAAGTGTGATTGAAATGTGATCAAATCACTATTGAAGAATGTATTTTGATAAGAAAAATGGACTCGAACAATGTCTTAATTTAGTTCCAAATAACCTCTGTGTACGAGTAATGAATCTCTACTACCAGTCAAGAGGGTGTGTCGTTAAGAGCGCTATGTTAGTCTCGTATAAATTTTTAGTTCTTATTTTTCAGTTTTTACTTGATCTTTGAGTCGGCGATAATATCGACACCGTGATATATCTCTAACACTAACTCACTCTCATAGTCTCAGCCGACTACAAACTACGAACAATTTGGCTTGGAACAACAGAATCCCACGGGAAAATATAGTCACAAAAATGAAATTCATTGATGGGTTTTTCTTATTTTGTGTACTTTATTTATTTAATTTTTTTTTAACTACAAAAAATATTACCAACTAAAGTATTTCCTTTAATAATTGTACTGAAAATAACAAATTTAGCCGAAAAGTAAAAGGAATAATACCTCGCTAAATGTTCAACTATAACTAGTGACGAAACTAAATATGAAGCTGCAGCTTTAAACTTGTAGAAAATAAATTAGATAATTTAAGCTTTTTATATAAATTTAAATCCACCTTAAAAAATTTCAACTTAATTTTTACAAATTTTTGTTCAATGAATATTACTCCCACCAATTAAGGGATGGGGAAACACTCCGCATTGTCCCGCCGAAGTGGGGTGAGGATGGAAAACATGGTTCCATCTCAGTGTGTAATTGTTTTTGTTTTTTCCGAGGAATTACTTGAGAAACATTTTTTTTTTTTTATAGTAACACTATGTTATTTAATTTTGAGTTAAATAATTCATCGATGGAATTTCAACACACATTTACAAAGATGAATAATATCAATCGAAAATTAAAAACTGATAATATTTCCCTAATTTTGACCGAAAAAAGGGAAAAGAAAACCTCATAAAATGGTCCTTAATTCATGAACTGTATGTTACAAGAAGCATTGAAGCCTGAATGAACAAAAATTACACTACATTTTATTTTGGTCAAAATTCACAAATCATGTATTATGGACAATTCAAAAATTAGGTTTTAAGTTTAAAAATGCAAAAATAGGGATAGCTAATTAATTAAATATAATAATGTCACAACTATACAATTATTGATCACATATACATAATTATAAGTCACAAGTTATTTATTGATCATATATTGTCAAATTAATTGGTCACAGATTAAAAATTTTATAGGTCGCAGTTTATTTTATTGGTCACAAATCAAAAAAAAAAATTACAGGTTACAATTTATTTACCAATCACAAATTTTCAAATTTGTTGGTTATAAATTATTTTTCAGTCACGAGTTACCAAATTTTAAGGTCACGATTTGATACTTAGTCATAGATAACCAAATAATTAGTCGCATACACCAAATATTGGGTACCATCACGACCAACATCATTGCCACCGCCACTTGCGACAACCCTCATCCTGTGACGTCGCCAACACCACAACAACACCACCATCATACCATCCCACGGCCACCGCCATCACCATCACCATCACCATCACAATTGTCAATTGCCACCACCACCGTCGACCGCCACAACCACTATCGACACATCTACCTGCATCACTACAAAAATCGCCACCTAATACGTCGTATTCGCCACCACCACTGCTAGCAGCTCCACTGCCACACATAGTGCCGATGTAAGACAGTTTTAAATCGTCATGCCCTATAAAATCAGTCGCTGCATCGTGCTCCGATCACCCACCAGCTCCACCTTCAATCAACCACCGCACCGTCACTTGCTAACAATACCACACCACAGCTACCATCCTACTAACAAAATCATCAAGTCCGCCAACAACAAACACCATCCCACCTCCAGACAAAACACCATCCAATGAAAAAATAAAAATAAAAAAAAATAAGTAGAGCCGCGGGCAACGACGTTCACAGTGCCGCCATTTTCGAGCCGTACCACAGTTGTTAATATGCAAACTATAGATGACAATTGGGTTTGTCGGTTCGAGCCCGGAAAAAGCTCGAGCCAACTAAGCTCGAGGCTCGATAGAATTGAGCCCCATCTTGGGGTGCTGGGTCGAGCCCGAGAGGGCCCGTGTGGCTTGTTGGCTCGTGCTCACCGGTATAATTTTAAAAAAAAATTAAATTTGAAGGCAGCAGCACGACACTGCCTTTACTTATAATTAAAAAAAATCGAGCCAGACTGGTTCGGCTCAATAAGGCCCAACCCTTGATTTCTTGGCCAAGCAACAGCTCAGCTCAGGTTCGCAAAAAACATTGGAACATTCTACTCGAGTCGAGCCCGAGCCTCGAGTTTCGGCTCATTGACATCACTATATGCAAACCACGAGCCATAGAAAATCGTTGGAGAAACGCCACAAATTGGAGAAGATTTTAGACCATCGCCCCTGCACTTCCTCTTGCAGAGGCTCCGATCTCTTCATTAAGCAGCGCGATGCTTCTTAAGCGGTGGCAACAATGCGGTTTTCACAATGGGTGCTCCAATGGCGACGACGACAACATCTAACAGAGAGGAAGGCATAATAAGAAGAGGAAGAAGATGGAGAGGGAAAGTAAGAAGAATGAAATAAAATTAGGGTTTACCTGATTTTTGAATAATGAAACTTCATCCCTGATTTTCGAATTATGATCTTTAAACCCCTAATATTATACAATTTCCACTTTCATTTATGATGTTTTGCCGTCGAATAACTTGAACTAAACTTCTTTTACGCTAAATCATAAACGTAAAGAGAAAGAAATTATTATTTATATTCTATCTAAACATACCCGTGCAGTTTCCAAATCAAATTCGAATTTTTGGTGAAATACCTAATATAATCGTAAAAATTATGACAATATTTACTAAGGAACACCTCCATTTCATTTGTATTGGCCTTGCATTCATCTAAGGCACCATTTATGTTTAGGGGTGAATACGGATCGATTTGAACGATTTGTGTTAAATTTTCAAACCAAACCACTTAAAACGGTTTAATATATTTTCAAATCAAACCACTTCAATTTTTAAACAAAATCAACCGAAACCACCTTTTTAGGTTTAGTTCTATTTAAAACCACAATCTAACAAAGAAAAAAATAACATATATTAAATAAGTTAAATCATAAATATTAGTGTAAAATTTCAAGTTAAAACATAAATAATATCATTAAAAATATTATAAATCAAAATTCTATAAACCTAGTCTTTATAATTCACCATGAGAAAAACATGTTAATCAAGAATTCATTGATTGTAGTTAAAATGATATAAAACAACTAATAAAAGAAAATTAATCAAAATATCAAATACGGTAATACATTCTATAACTTTTTGTAAATCATCTAATACATTTACCTCATTTAAATATTGACGACTCACAATAGGTTTTTTATGGCAGGTCGTCACGTTAATTATATTTGCACTCAATAAACTCCTAAAAGGATCAAGAATCCGACGATTAGTAGGGAATGCAGATTCAAAAATAATTGTGAATATTTGAATAGCTAACACATTTTTAATAGTTTTGGAGATAATCTTGTGTTTGCATTCAATTTTCACGAAAGTAATATGTCGAAGGCTCATTGGTCAAATTTTCAAAACAACCATTCAACTAGTCTATCAATTCATTGTAGTAATCAACAGGCAAATCTAAAATTAAGTTAAAATATAAATAATTAATTGAGTGACCTTATCAGAAAATCGAGAAGCAAACAAACAAAATATGCTGCTCGGTAAAAAATTAGGGGAGGTCGAATTAGAATAAAGCAACATAACTATCAATAAAATATAGAAAATAATTACAAAAATAAGAAAAATCGAGAAAAATAGTAGAAGAAAAAAAAACGTCTGTTTAAATTAAAATCTAGATTTAATTGTCTACTAAATTTTAATGGTGCAGACGATATAGCTCAACTGCAGTTGTTCAACACTTA